AATTGGACTTCTACTTGTATAAGTTGTCAAAAATCCAAAATTTCTAAATATACTAAGACGCCTGTGCAAAAAATTAACATTCCATCTGGACGATTTGAACATATTCATATGGATCTTGTTGGTCCATTACCCATGTCAAAAGAAAATCGTTACATTTTAACTATCATTGATAGACATACACGATGGCCAGAGGCATATCCACTTAGGGATATTTCAGCTAATTCTATAGCAACAACATTTGTTCAAAATTACGTTCCTCGTTTTGTCATTCCACTTTATATAACAGTAGATCAAGGATCACAATTTACATCAAAAATGTTCACAGAATTAACTAAATTGTTAGGATCACACAAAATTCATACGTCCCCATATCATCCTCAATCAAATGGAATGATTGAAAGATTTCATAGGACATTAAAGACTGCTATTACAGCTTCAGATGATTCTACCCACTGGTCTGAAATTCTCCTTGGATATTATTAGGTACTACGTACGTCTATTAAAGAAGATTTAAAATGCTCTTCTGCAGAATTAGTTTTTGGGCAAACATTAAGATTACCAGGTGAATTAGTTGTTTCGAACAGTTATAATAATGAAGTTGACAATACAAATGAAATTCTTTTTAAGCTAAGAAAATATTTTTCAAATGTTAGATCAAAAGTGGTACATCACAATAAAGGACACTCTTTTGTTCCAAAGAACTTGGATACTTGTGAATACGTTTTTGTTAAAGTTATTCACAAATCAAATTTACAATCACCTTATGAAGGACCATTTAAAATTATTTCGAAAAATAGTAAAGTATTCAAAATTCAATATGGAAATATGATTAAAACAGTTTCAATAGATTTACTCAAACCTGCAAATATAATTTCTGATACAACACAAAACTCTAATTCACTAACAATTCCAAATACAAAAAAGAAAATAACATTTAATATTAATTAATTTATCGTTTTACTGGAGGGGGAGTATATGTAGGGTATTTTACTTGTATGTTTTTATACTTGTTTAAATTCTTGATTTTCAATTTATGGTTCTATGAATTTGTTTGTAGTTGAAGAGAAAATTTTTGATTATTAATAAATAAACTTTCAACATATAAAAAACTCAAAATTTAAACTAAATATATTTAGTTATTAAAATATCATATAAATGATATAGACTGCACCAGCCATACGTGGACGGATACACGGCGATCCTAGCACGCAAAACTTACTTGCAACGGCTGCACTTGGAAGATCACAGGGTTGCTTTTAGCATTTAGATTCTTAATGCAAAAATGGAGTTGCATTTAATTGCATTTAGGTGACGAATTTTGTATGGATAAATGTACATTTAGAGTAGCATTTAGAGCTAAATGCGCTAAATGTGCTTTTACGCGTAAGCAAAAACAGCCCATTAGTGAATCATGTCCGTGCAGTGCATTAATGTAAACATGAACTGGATTTCTGTTAATAAAATATGTTTGACTTTTTATTTCATCAAGTCTTTTAAAAGCAATTGATATTGCCTTGTGCACTGATTTCATGGGGCGCAAACCTTAATTTTTAACTAATTACTGTCCACCATTCAACACAATATGTAAGGAATGTTTTCTATTACACAAATGATTTGCCATTTTATAATGGGCTGTTTTTGCTTACGCGTAAAAGCACATTTAGGGCATTTAGCTCTAAATGCTACTCTAAATGTACATTTATCCATACAAAATTCGTCACCTAAATGCAATTAAATGCAACTCCATTTTTGCATTAAGAATCTAAATGCTAAAAGCAACCCTGTGATCTTCCAAAATTTCCACGATTCGAACATGGTTTAANAAATGCAATATCGATGTGATGCTGATAGAAATCTGGATCAATTTATGATCAATTCTGTTTGTTTTGTTTCCTAATTAAGTGAGGAAATTTTAATTGACAGCACCGACAAATTAATATATACATAAACAAATGGTCGGTCATGGTGAAAACAATTCAAATTTTTGTACTGAAGTTTTGGTTTAAAATTTATTTTTTCCTTTTCAGTAGGGTTTTTGCACATTATCTTCTGCGTGAGAATTGATCGTAATAGATACGGATCTGAATAAGCGACTGGACACGGCTGTTTGTCAAAAGCATACGATTTCGAACTAGCGTAAATGTACATTTGCTAAATGCGATAGCATGAACGCTCTTCGAAAACATATGTTCGAAAGTGCTAAATGTTGCATTTTAAAAGCAGCAAAAACGCTGCATAACATCGAATCTTAGTAAAAATACTAAATGTTTTGAGTTTAGAGGAAAACAGTTCCTTGCCTTATGTAAGAATTAACTTTTATTTCTATAAAAAGCTAGATGACTAGGAAAAAATTAAATTAAACTTCCCTCCTTGGAGAGCTCTTCCTCTGGCGAACAGACAGCATTGCCATTCGAATGAGCTTTTTTCACTCGTTAAGTCAATGTGATATGTTTATTCTAGGTGCATTTTTTTGTAAGTGAGCGACAAAAGAACGCTGAACTCGGGTAAAATTTCCTTTTAGCTACTTAAGCAACCCTGTTGGTAGCTGGCAAGAAACGTGATTAGTTTAACGAGATTTAGATACAAAAACCAATGAGTAATTATGCGAGGTGTTAGCGTAATATATATACTTATTTAAAATATAAGTCACGTATATAAGGAAACAAAAATTTCACTCTCCACTTTCCATTAGCAATTCACAATAGACCAGTTTTTTCGCTTGACAAGGCTACCCTTCAGGTCGCGTATTTTTTAACCGACCTGGCTGAACTCGGACAAATAGCCGAGTTTGTGTTGTTGCGTTGCGTTTATTTCGTGATTTAAGCGAGTGTTCTTTTGTAGCTCGGTTGCAAAAGAATGCACCTTCTGTCATATTTGCATTTGTTATTTTTTTGCGAGTAAAAATACGAACAGTTTATTCTAACATGTAGATATATATATGGTTTGTTACAGGTGCAAGGTACTCTTGGGAAAGCAAAGGGCATACAATTTCTTGTGTGGGATGTTGGTGGGCAGGAAAAACTTCGACCTCTTTGGCGAAGTTATACGCGGTAAGTTTGGTTGATTACAATGTTTGATATATTTACTTTTTTGCAAAAGAGAGATGGCGAATGTGTGACAAATCTTAAGAATATTCTTTAGACTAATTCGACGAAAAATTTTACAATACTGGACGTAAGTTGTAGACCCAAGTCTTTTCTCTCGAAAAAAAGAACTCAGCAACCCAGATTATCGCTGGAGTTACAGATATATTCTGATAAGTGGTGGAAATCTGGTTTTGTTCTAAACAATATGCATTTGGCGCTCATATGTTTGTGAAGTGTTTTGCTCAGCTTCTACTCCAATTTGTGGGAGTGCACTTTGGGCCAGACGAGTTGGTTCGATGGCCAAAAGTCAGTTTCGGAAATCGGTAAAATCAAATATACTATTTGAACTAGTAATTATGAAAGCAGTTCCTGTGCATTTTTTTGCTTACGATAATTCGTACTTAATCCGCACTTACGCGAAGTTGGAAAACTTATTTAGTTTAAATTTTCATAACACTTTATTGCTTTTTACTTAATTAAGTATTGTTTCGGTGAATTTAATCCACCCTTTGTTGTTTTGGTTACTTTTATTCCTGGACAGAAACGAAAATCAAACAGAGGGAGCACATGCACTCCCCACCTCCAAAAGCTGTTCTGGATTTACTGGAGTCAATAGGATTACAAGCTGCGTTATGATGAGTGGAGGGCACAGTAGACCCACAAGGTCGCGGTGCAAAGCTCTTTACTTAACTATCTGATTCAGTTGTGCACTCTTAAGCCTTATGTGTGATAGAGAGAGATATGCGGGCAGGCAGATGAAGAGGTAGCGCAGGATTACCATTTTATCATTTATTGTATATTGAGGGTGCGGGTATTCGTGCTTAGACAATGGCTACCATAAAGGTGCCAGCTCTGCATGCATCCACCTTTTTGACTTATTTCTGTTAGTTTGGTAATGATGAAAGGCCTTCAAATGTTCAACTATAAAACATAGCGACATTTGTCACATCATGCAAGTGCCAGTTCATAGAAGGTTTGTTCCACACGAGCCCGCGGGTATCCGCGGGTGCGCAAAACAGCCCAGAAAGCGTTCCTAACGCTAGAAAAATGGGTAATAGAGAGCGAATGCGTTCCGCTTTTGGATCGTAAATGTCTTCTTCTTTGTGCACGAAACAGCCCGGACTTTTTTCCGGGCACAAATGTGCGAAAGGGCAATTTGAAATAACTGCTGTTGTTGTTTAAATCTGAAAGCAAATTGTATAAAAACAAAAGTGGAAAATATCACAGAATTTTCAGAAAATGTAGTTGTTTGGTCATTTTATTAGCCATATAAGATAAATACACGTAAAATCATTGTTTAGAGCTGATATGTTGATTCCGGGCACGAAATGTGTTTCTTTGCGTTCCTCACGCTCTGGGCACTTTTGGCACGTGTTGGCACATTTTTGACACTTGTGACAGAGTAACTTATTTTTACTCTCTAATTACCGGAGTAGCCCGGAAAGCGTGGGGAACGAAGATAGTGTGTCGCTCATACATACATACATGTTTGACAATGACATATGAAGGCACTCTAAATAAATTCAAATCAAATCATGCATCAAATTTATGCATATCAACAAGTGACGAGCTTTTGTAAGCTATTGTAGTAAACTTCATTAAACAATTGTCTAACTAAAAATCTATATATATTTTCATGCAAGGCAGGCTCAAACAATATTAAAAATATGATGCAGTAACACAACAGCGAACAACAGCTTAGTTAAGTGGTTTTCGGTTACTGTGCATGTATGCTTTATTTCGGTTTTTGCCATATGCATTATTTCGGTTTTCAGCCGAAGCTGTGCATGTATGCATTACTTCGCTTTTTTTTCATATGCATTATTTCGCTTTTAAAGCGAATGTATGCATATGCATAATTTCCGTATTTTCTCATATGCATTATTTCGATTTTTAACCGAGACGGTGAATGCATGCATTACTTCGGGTTTTTCATGTGCATTATTTCTGTTTTGAACCGAAACTGTGCCTGTATGCATTATTTCGTTTTTCACATATGCATTATTTCGGTTTGTATTTTATGCATTATTTCGGTTTTTGTAATATGCGTTATTTCGGTTTTCAAAGGAAAGTGTGCTTATGAATAATTCGTTTTTTTCTAATATGAATTATGTACTTCTATTTAGTAAGGGTTATAATCCCTAAGCGCGACCAAAGGCCGCCTACAAAGAAAGAAGTTCTGCGCAAAAAAAACTTCCGCCCCCTTATCCGGCAACACCGAAAGGAGAACTCTATTTAGTAAGCGTTATAATCCCTAAGCGCGGCCGAAGGACTCCTACGCAGAAAGTAATTCTGCGCAAAAATACTCCCGTCTCCATTTTCCGGCAACACAGAAAGGAGAATTTTACTTAGTAAGGGTTATAATCCCTAGGCCCGGCCGAAGGCTGCCTACGCAGAAAGAAGTTCTGCGCAAAAATACTTCCGCCCCTATTTTTCGGCAATAAAGAAAGGAGAATCTTGCTTAGTAAGGGTTATAATCCCTAAGCGCGGCCGAAGTCCACTACGCAGAATGAAGTTCGTTCTCATGTATGCACTATTTCGGTTTTTGTCATATGCATTATTTCGGTTTTGAACCGAAACTGTGCATTTACTTCGTTTTTCTTATATGCATTACTTCGGTTCGGAGTCGAAACTGTGCATGTATTTCGGTTTTCAAACGAGAGTGTGCATATGCATAATTTCGGTTTTTCTAATATGCATTATTGCGGTTTTCAACCGAACTGTGCGTATATGCATTATTTCGGTTTATTTCGTATGTACAGTCTCCATATGCACAATTTCAGGGTGCCGCAATGACATGCTAAAACAGTATGTTTGAGATGGAATCACATGGCATAACACCCTGTTTTAGTTGACAAGACATAGCAATGCATGCAATTTTTGAAAATAAAATTTTTAAAGGAAATGTTAAATTTTGCAGTACAAAATGTACATAAGAAAAAGAAATGTCGAAATTGGTTAATCAGTATGGCATTGGGTGGCATTAACCCTTATGCCATCAGATACTACTAAAACTTAAGGATATGCATAGAAGAACTCACCTGACTTCGCTGGTCCCTACATTTATGTACAGGTTTACACACGGTAGAGGGCCGAACTCTACCAAGGGTTATACATATATACTCATTTGTGTGTATCAGGGATTGGCATTGGTTGATCGTCAACTGGTCATACTCATTCAATACCGCTGCTTTTTATGACTGAGCAGCGGCGTTGGCTTAGTAGTATCGATACCTAAACGAAATTAGAGGATGACTGAACACGAGCGCATTGCGTGCTGTCTTGCAAATACAGCCACAACAAGTGAACGATGCTTATAACTGCTCATACTGATATTGACTTCGGCAAATCTGTACTCTGAATGATCGTGCACGAAACCAGCAAACGTGGCAGTTGAACGGCTCCGAAAACATGAGAGTCATCATTTGTTGCAGAAGTCGTTTGACTTGTTGCTGAAAATCATCTGACTTGTTGCTGAAAGTCATTTGACTTGTTGCTGAAAATCATCTGACTTGTTGCTGAAATGACGACGAATGTGGTAAAGGGTAATTTATCGTCTCGTATGCATGTATGTATGTATTTATAGCGCGTCTACCATTCAATTGCATTGCTCACTGCTGGCTAGTTGTGAATATGCATACGTACGTAAGTATGTATGTATGTACATATCAATGCTTCATTTCAAACAAGCAAGTGTCTTTGAATGTTTTTGAACTACAGTATCATCACTTCGGCAACACGTCAAACGCGCCTTCAGCAACAAACCAAAGGCGGCGGTTTGACTTCTGCAACAAATCAAGTTAGCTAACTGCGGCATCTTGCCTTCGCCAGTCTTTCACATAAGCTGTCATGCTTTCGGCAACCGTCCAAAGCAGTATCGTGCTTTTGGCAGTCGATCAAATACGGCGGTTTCTGGTTTCGTGCACGATCATTCGGAGTACAGATTTGCCGAAGTCAATATCAGTATGAGCTGTTATAAGCATCGTTCACTTGTGGTGGCTGTATTTGCAAGACAGCACGCTTTGCGGTGGTGATCGTTCATCCTCCGTTTTTAACGTGAGTAGGCTTAAAGTCACAAAAACAGCACCCTTTGCCAATCCCTGGTGTGTATGTGCACTGGCGCTATGCATTTGGAGTTCGAGGGTGACTTGTTAACCTCAGCATTCCTCAACGCCTTCAAAAGATTCGTAAACCGTAGAGGATATTGCAAGGTAATGTTCTCTGATAACGGAACAAATTTTTGTTGGCGCTGAAAAAGTTCTACGCAACAATTTCCAACAATGCTTGGCGGATGACCGCCTTCGTGCGTTTTTGCTGATTCGAACATCGAGTGGCATTTCATCCCCCCGACTGCACCTTATATGGGAAAATACTGGGAGACAGGTATTAAACGCATAAAGTGCCATTTGAAACGCATTTTGGGCAAGAGTTTGTTATATTATGAAGAGTTCAGCAAGCTATTGACAGATGTGGAAGCCTGCGTTATCTCCCGACCGCTATGTGTAGACTCAACAAATGCAGGAGATCTCGAAGCTCTAATTCCTGGGCACTTCATAACTGGTGAACCGCTGAAGTCCATCCGGGACCAAAGGGTCAGAGGTTTTGGGGCAATCTACTTCAACGATGGCAGTGTTTCGAATATGTGAAGACAGGTGGAAAAAGTCATGGCGACAGTTGGTAAAAAATCAGTTGGGCTTAGAGAGGGAAAAGTTAAAGTCATAAATACAAAATTTCAGGTCATTTACTGACTCCCCGTCTACTCTAACGGTACATTTCCAAAAAAAAAAAATACTAAGATCGGCGCGATACCGACTAATCGGTTCAGTTGCCTGAACCCATTAAGAAAGTATTTATTTTCAACTGTAATCAATTTTTTAAGTATCGTGGAATACTCAAGTAAAGGTATTTATCATTTACTTGGTTTTTTCCTATTTTTCTTTTCAAAAAATTTATTTTGAAATGTA